CATGGCTTGGTCTAAGACACATGTGCCTCTGCCAAATGGGGCCTTGGCCCCCAACATGGTTGTGCTTGGCATGGAACTGGTCCCCCAGGACTGGTGTAGGCTCATTCCCACCGATCTCTGCCAGGGAAGTAAGAAAGGATAATCACTGGTTTCTCTTCCTACAAAGATATGATTCCCAGAGGCCACTCACTTGCTGTGGGAAACCTACTGGCCTGATATGCATCCCTCGCTCTCTCCCAGGACTCAACTCCATGTGGCCAAGAAGGAAATAGAGTTCTCACTGCCTTCTTTATTTAGGTCCATCTCTGAAACTCCAGTTTCTCTCAGAGCCATCTCTAGACTAACCTGCCCACTGCGGCTGTGAGCAGAACAGGGCTGGAGAGCACCACGGGTAGAAGGAGGCACTCTGCTCGGCCTGTCCATGGGAAAGGCTAAGGTAGCACCCAGGCTGTTTCCTCCATGACCCAGCTCCCTGCCTCCCTGTGTGAAAATATCCACACAGGGCTTTGGGATCTCAGGCACAAATTTGAGGAAGAAAGATCACAGTGATAGTATTGAGAGCTTGTAGAGGGCAAATGGGTGATGGAAATGACCCTCGACATGGGCTTGGCTTCCAACTATGGGTCTTGCTCACATGCGATGTGGGTAAGTCACTTTATCTCCCTATGTCTCAATTCCATCCTCTGTAAACTGGAGATAACCAAATCTTCCTAACCACCAAGACTAGATGTGAAGATTCCATGCAGAAGTGCTCACTACCCAATAAGTACTCAAGAATACTCATAAAATAAATGTTGGCGCTGAATGATCGCAGACTCTACATAAAGAACAACATCTTGTGCCCATAAAGGAAGAAAGTGGGAAATGGACTTGTGGGAAAGGAGATTTCACAAGGGATGGTATACAGAGTGGATTCTTGGCTATTAAGGATTATCTGCCCTATAGTAGGCATTTATGAGGGTCAAAGGGCCTTCGTGATAGACATATTTAACAGAAAAGGCAATCAAAAGTTTTGGGTGAGGACCATTCACCTGCTTGGACCTTTAGGATGTTTGGGAGATCTATTCTGATTTTGGGAGTTGGTGCTTCTCTAAGAACCTCAGAAACAGCCCTCTATTATTGTCTAAATAGCTTTTAGTCTACAAGTCTGTGACTAGTATTTCCCCTTTTATCTACCTGATCATTTTTTAAATTATGGGTTATTCCTTTTGAAAGGCAGATGGTCACAGTCTAAGATGGTCTGTAAGCTGCATCCATCACTGGTAAAGGACATTTTTATTCACTTCACACTCACTTCCATGATTGCATGCATCTCCTAGTCCTATGCTTAATATTGAACTACAAAAAAGAAAGAAAGCTCCCCACACCCACCTTCCTTTTAGAAGAGGAGGACCCATAGTGACTGTTCCCTGGCACCTACCAGTCTTACAAAGAAAACAAGCTGTCTGTAGGAAGAAATGGAATTTAAAACTTACGGCTTTAGCAATTAAATACATGTGACACCAGGATACTTGCTTTAACTCAGGTTTTCCTGATAGGTGAAAAGCCACCAACACAGATTTGCTCAAGTTTGGAGGCTGAAAGGGGGGATCTTCCAAGGCTTGCACAGCTTGAATCAAGAATACCCAAGTCAGCTAATGCCTTCAAAGAAAGGAGTTAAACCTGACTCTGGTCCAGTTCTGGAGGCAGTGTTTACCCAGTCCCACTGGCTGACACGGCTGCCCTGAAGGCCTGGTGCAGACCCAGCGACAGGAGCCAGGAGCGATCACCTTATGATACGCTGTCTTGTGGGGTATTCTGTGAGCATCTTCTCTACCACATGGATCCCAGACAGTATCTAACCTTTTCCTGGTACCCAGAACATGGCATTTAAAACACATCTTGAATGAGTAGATGAATGGCCAGGCTTAAAGGCTTCATTTAGACACGAGAATGGCAGTTCCCTCAGAAGAATGATGGCTGAGCCTCACTGGGGAGCCAGGCAACTGTCTAGTGCTTCAGAGATGCTTCACGCGCAAGCACCCTGTGAAGTAGCTACTGTTGTCACCATCCCCACTTTGCACGCTAGGAAACAAGACATTACATAACTTGCCCTAAGTCACATTTGAAGTGCTTTGGATCAAGATCACTTAGGCTGGGTCAGAACCCTGTGTTTAAGTGATATACGGGGCTGCATCCCTCAAGAATGGACTCTGTTCTGTCACTGAAATTACCAGGGCCACAGATGGTTGCTCTTTACAAAATCTATTACCCTGAAATTCAAAAGCTTTCCATTGGGCCTGAAAACTTCGCTGGCTTTACTGTCAATCTCATTTTATTAATTTTTTTTTCTGTGAATAATTTTTGAGCTTTCCTTGCTTTTCTGTAGCAAAGGGCATTCTCTACACAAAACTCTTTCATATTCTGAAAAACTGGCATTAAGCTATACTTTTGAATTTTATTGTTTACGTAAAAATTCTAATCCATTTGAATTTTTCATGAAAAACCCAGTTTTTATTCTTCTGTCTTTTCCCTTTTATCTCTAAACCTGTTCTAGAACATAAAGTAGGAATGTGGCGTATGGTCCTGTATTTAACCTTCCTTTTCATGAATTTCAACATTACATGAGTTTTTTTTCCATTACAAATGACCATGCTGTGTTGTGTATCCAGCTTGTTCTAAATACAGATGTGCACATCTACGACCCTGAGCATGGACAGTCTCTACTTTTTCTCTGTGCAATTCAGTCCCAAACTGTACCTCAAGTTCACTCTTTACTAGGATTCAGGCTGTGTTGTTGAGTTCCATCATCTTCGTGAATTTTAGATTTGTCAAGTTCACTTTAACATTTGAAGCACACCTTCCAGAGAACCACCAACATCACTTCAATTCCCCTTTTTTCTTTTTACTGCTGAATGCAGTAATTGCAGGTGCTTGGGAAGAATTTCTCTTTGTGGTTTGTGCATTATGATCTGTAAATCCATAGATAACTATTTGTGGATTTCCATATTTTCCTCTCCTGTGACATGGCCACATGCCCAGAGGAGGAGCTATAGTAGCTACACTATAGCTACAGGAGCAATCATTGACACTCTAGAAGGACTTAACCTTCTAACTATACCTACAGGCAGCAGGAGCAGTACCCTTACCCTAACTCCATCCCTATGCCCTAAATGACCATTGTGGGAACTCTAAAGCATACACCCTATTGCTCTTGGGTTACTGCCATGCAATCTCATTTGCAATATAGATATGAGCATGGATTGAGCAACCAGGTCGGCCAGCCCACCATCACCGCAGGAGAGGGCTGAAGAACATAAAGACCTCCTTCTCCTTCTTCTCCTTCTTCTCTCTCTGCTTTCTTGGTAATAATGCCTGAGGAGGTCTGGTGGAACTGTCTCTATGAGTCAGCAACATTTTAAGTGACTGCAGCAATTCAGGTGGAGCTACTAAGAATAATATGCATTTTGCATAGAATTCATTAGAGAAGAGGAAGTATAAGAGACACCTTTACCAAGAGGCTGAACTTGGCAAACAGGAGACAGCATGCCTGGAGAGTGGAGGCTTGTTAAACTGAGGCCAGAATGGAATCAAGTTCACTGGAAACTCAGGAAAAGAAAAATTTTCCAAAGAGTGGTCATCACATCGAATTGCCAAGAAGTCTGGAGTACAAGCATTTCAGGCCACAAATTCAGCTGTGCAAGAAATGGAACATGACTGTTTAGAACTAAACCTAAATTGCTGTTGAGCTGAACACCATGGGTGGAGAATTGTCTGACAGTTATTGTCTCCTGCCCCCTTCAACTGTTCTGAGGGACCAAGATCTGGTTGGTTCCCAGGCATAGTGAGGTAGGGTCCTCACATCTGTTCATACTGGCATCTACAGAGAAGCCTGTCATTCTGTCTTCTGGCCTTTGTTCCCACCACGTCATCTCACCTGCAGGAAGTTATCAGATCTGTCTACTGTTCTCAACTTTATATCTCAGAATTACAGACAACTTGGGCTTCCTGATAGACATTTTTGCCCTAGTACTAAGAGATTCTCTGGAGAATTCTGGGACCCCTCCATTTTCCTGAGTTTCATTCTGAAACATAGCATGAATCCTCAATACTTTGGGATTCCCTAAACTTACAAAGATTCTGTGTGTAGATACACAAGCACAAATGGTTTGTGTCCCTCACAGGTCCATGAACACATACACACACACAGAGCTTATGTTCTCTGAGACCTACCAGAATCTAAACTCTTGCCTCTGTTTTTGCTGGGACTGGGGGAGTGATGCTGAGGGCTTAGAGTTCAATATCTCTTACTAAATGTTTCTTTTTTTTTCAAAATTTTTGTTTATGGCAAAAACTGTGTGCTTCCAGTCCTCCAAGGTTTAAGCTTGAAGCTTAGAAGTCTTGTCTCTGCTTTTCCTATGAATCATCCCTCCCTGGGGCCATTGAAGGCTGCTGACTGAACAGAGGGAGGCCACAAGTAGCCTGCACTGGTGAGGGAGGGAGGAGGAGTCCCATTTACCTTCTCAAAGCCAGGAGACGACCGAGGATCAGAAGTGCACTTAGTTTGAAGGTTTTAGGTATTTCAGGTTGCAAAGAACCAAAGGGCCAGACTTAAATGCTCTTGGACCACAGAGCACAGGCTATGGAGACTGAGGGATATCACACACTCCAAGAAACCACAAAGGGCCATGAGGACAGGCAGTCTTCTGATCTGGGACTGATCTTTCTCACTGAGGCAATCCAGATGAACAAACGTACCTTGGCTTCCAGTGAGAAACCAGCCAGTTCCCTCTGACCTTTTAATTTTTGTTAATTCAAATTTTTTATTGTTTCCTTTGTGTAAGCTGCAAAGGAAGCTTCTGTGGTTGGAGCTCTCCTCTGACTCATTTTATAGCCTAATCCTGTAATTGAGGGTGTACACCAAATAGCCTAAGAACTCCTTGTGGAAAAACCACTCTCACTCAGCACATGAGAAGCCATGTATGTTCAGGCATTACTCAACCTCTTGAATCCTACTTCAGATGGCTATGAGTTCCTGGAGATCCTGAAGCAGGTGGCCCGAGACAACACCAACAACCCTGATCTGAGCATCGTGTGGATCGACCCCGATGATTTTCCTCTGGTGAGTGGCTCTGGCCAGGACACCATCTCTGCTGCCCTTTATAGTCCAGTCATGGTTAGCCCAAGGCCCTCAGCAGGAAGAAGGTGATGGACCAGGCAAAGCACTCGAGGAAACTCAGGGTCCACCCCATGCAGTGTGGCCCTGACCGCATTGAACTTGGCCTGGAACAGTCGCTGAAATGCTTAGACTTGCTACAGAATGCACTCTGGAGAGACCACGTACTGGAGGCTGAGGGGCCCACCCAGATGAGCTGAGGGGAGTCCTCCTACCAGAAGCTCCTTAGCTGCCTCTTGTCCTGCCACCAACCCTCCTGCTCTTCTCTCACTGACTGGATGGGGACCTTCATTCTGAGGCAACCTAAACTACTGAGTAATAAAAACTAGAGAGAAACGTTTGGCATAGAGCTAAGCACTTGGTAGAGAAAAGGAGAAGCCTGTCTGAGAGCAAAGACCATTCGTTTTTCATTCATACTGTGTTCCCCAGGACCTGCTTTAGTTCCTAGCACATGTTTAAGATATAAGAACTTTTACAGTCCAGACTTAGCCAGGGTCCATGACCAATGGCCAGAAGGCTTTGATTGTATTTAGTTTTATGAAAGAAAGACAGAATCTGTACAACCTCAGTAATAATGATAAAGGACGTAGCTAATACCCTCTACTATATGCCTGGAATGATAGTAAGTTGTTTATATGCATCGTCGCAGACAACCCCCTCAAAGCCCTGTGACACAGGCACCATTACAATCCCTTTCAGGTGGAAAGAATGACAGCTGGAGAGATTAAAGATAGTAAATGGTAGATATGATATTCCTATCTAGGTCTGTGTTAATACCAGACCTTGGTTTATTGCTTGTTTCTGGCAGAGCTAACTGCTGGTAATTAATACGTTTAGTTATTATCAGGTATGCTATGGTTTGTGTCTGGATGACCCCCCAAAGACTCATGCAGCCATGGGTGGAGGTTTCTAGAGTTTATGACTGATCCATGGTCCAGTTCTGGGATTATGGGTGTGAGTGCTACACCTGCCCTGGGGCAGGCAGCCTGCATACAATATAAGAGAGGGAAAGAAGCTTGCTCCCCCTCCCACTGCCGCTCCTCCCTTTTTGCTCTTGTTGCTTTTTGCTGTCTTCCACCACTATGAACTCTTTCCCTCTGCCATGTGCCACTCTGCCTTGGAGCCAGCCAAGTATGGACTGAAACCTCCACAAACTGTGAGCTAAATAAACCTTCCCTTCCTTAATTCTGGGCATTAGGTATTTTGTCTCAGCACCAAAAAAAAACTAATGGATACAAGGTTATAAATGACAGTTTTATCATTCAGGAATTATTATTAGTTCCTGGTCACGACTGATGATGCTATGATCAAGTAGGAAAAATTGAAGGCTTTTGGTGATCTCAAGGGTCCTGATGCCCAGTGCTACACAGAGAATGGGTGAATCAAAGGCAGAGATTTCCATGGCACTGGAGGCCAATGTCACAATTCAGGGTAATTATAGAAAAGTCATGGCCAGGTAAGGCTCTATATGAGACTTCTTTTTTAAAATTTAGCCACTGCCAGGTTGTATTTCGAGTTTATTAGTACTATTTTGTTGTGTAAGTTTGCAGATGATCTGCAATTCTTTTGGCCTGTTCTATGTGTTTGCCTTGGTTTTACAAAAGAAAAATAATCTTCAGACTTTTCTAGCTTCCAGATTCTTGACTATCCCAGTCCCCATATTTTCCTGAGAGACTTTCTCCTCTATCACTGCTTTTCCAGCCATCTCATATAGTAGGATGGCTTGAGGTCAAGAATTTTTAAAAATAGGGCATTGAAAGGGAAGTGGAAGAAAATGGCTCTTCCACCATCCATAAACTACAGAAGAGCCACAAGTAATTTGGGAACCAACACTGGTCCATCTCTGTAGTATTTTTTCTCACAGCTGTACAAGCTTTTTTATATTACATGTTTTCAGTTTGTGCAATAGCATCTTTTATTTAATGCTTAAAGTGCTTGAGGGCTGGGCCAAATTGGCAATTTCTTAAGAGCCCACAGCTATTTCAGAGACCTTTCACCATGGTGACCTAGTTCCTATGGTACAAAGGCAGGTGAGCCCAGCCACAAAAAAAGTGGCTTTAATTGAGAATGCCCTCGGCCTGTGGTCTAATCTGATTTTGTGTTGTCACAGCTTGTTGCCTACTGGGAGAAGACCTTCAAGATTGACCTATTTAAACCACAGATTGGGGTGGTGAATGTGACAGATGTGAGTATCCCCCACACAAGCTTTCTCAGGTCCCTTTACCCAGCCCTGTTGTCCTGCAGTCCCGACTATGACATCTTTAGGAGTCTAGCTCCTTCAGAAACAAGTAGAAACCTTGGCCCTGCCTGAGTGCAGAAACTTGCTAGCATGGCCCAATTCTGGTCTCTGAGCCAGGCCTAATATGTATTTCTATGCCTTTCTTCTATGGGTTCATTTCCTTCCTTAGGGGGCCAGCCTGATCCAATTCACTGATCTAGAACTTTTCACCCAAGAAAATTCTCCTGTGTCCTCCCCTAAAAGCCCAAGATCGAGTTCTCTTTATACAAGGAAACTCACACCCAAAGCTGTCACTGCATAATAGGTGGTGGTGCAATTGCAGCTCAGAAGCCCTTGTACGCAGACACTAGGCCCACTGGAGAGAAAGATACAAAGCATGCACAAGGAAGCGGGATTCCTCCAGGTTCAGCACTGTCGATCTGAGGATGGGAAAGGCTAGGGAGATGGACAGGCAGAGTATAAAGAATTTTGGACCTTGGTCCAGGCATCTGACGCAAATCCACTGAAACAAAACAGAAGTGGGCACAGATACAACCAGGGAAATAGTGAATAAAAAGGGATGCTCACAAAGGACCCATACAGCCAGAATTAATTACAGTGGACTGTCTTACGAACGACGGCCAATTAGCAATGTCCTTTGGCCCTGTTGGTAAGTGTTCAGTCATGTGGGGAACTCCACATTTATTTGTTTTGTAAGCAACTTCAAAAATAGTGATAATTTTAAAAAATAGGTTCAAATTAAAACTTTTAAAACTAGAATAGTATAACATAAGTGAAAAGGAAAAAAATTTTCTCACTGTAGCATATATCTGGATAGTTTAAGGCACATTTCCTCCTGTTACACAAACAGGATGTGTGCGAATCATTCTGCAACTTGGCAATTCCATTTAACAACGTGCATGCGTTCTGTAAAGTTGCAGGAAACTGGGCACTCACTCCGCACGGCTCAGAACCCTGTGGTGTGGCTCAACCTTCATTCATTCACTCATTCCTTCGCTCTGGCCCTCATTACAGGCTGACAGTGTCTGGATGGAGATTTTAGATGATGACGATCTGCCCAGCGCGGAGGAGCTGGAAGACTGGATTGAGGATGTGCTTTCTGGAAAGATCAACACCGAAGATGATGACAATGAAGATGAAGAGGATGATGATAATGACGACGATGATGACGACGACGATGATGATAATTCTGATGAAGAGGATAGTGAAGACACTGATGATGATGATGAATAGCTCCAACTCCAAATGACTTACAAAACCGAAATCACAGCTACCCACTACCGTAGAGACAGACCATGGTGGCAGAAAGCAGCCCTACCCCCACACAGATCCTTTCCTTTTTCTCACTCCTTTCTCGTCATGAGCAAATGCTTTTCCAAACCCAGCAAGCCCATGTAGCAGGGACAGGAGAGGAATGGGTGCCATGTTGACTTGTCTGGATTGTCATGGCACACTTTTCTTGTTCTTCACTAGATCTTCATTTGTTCTGCTCTTTATCAGATCATTGTGGAGCTACAGCAGTGCTAGAATCTGGCAGTCTGGGGACAGTGCCTTAACACCTCTATCAAGTTCACTTGTCTTTGACTGTGGTGGTGACAGAACCAACAATTTGCTAATTCAGAAGCGTGAAGTGACCTTGTAATCAGAGCCCTGGGAAGACATAATTGGTCAATTTAGCCCCCATATCTAGAGCATCAGTGAACTCATCTCTAAGCCTTTTGATGTCTATTGAGAAGTCTTGTGTAGGTGTCACCAACATTTCTAGCATATTAGGATCCTGAGATGGGTGGTTGATTAGTTAGCCAAATTTCTGGCTATGTGAAAGTCTCATATTCACCAGCAGTGTTGGGTGGGGAAACTGAAGGATTAAAGACTCTTAACTGTTCTGATGGGGATGGGTTCACATCTCTAAATAGGTCAGCCGGCCTCCTCTTCTGAGCTGGGAACTGAATACCCCCTCTCTGTTGCTGCTAGTGAACTTCTTTAAAATTTTTCTTTATCCAATAGTCAATAACTCTCCATTTATCAGCACTCCCGCAGTTGACCAGGGCAACAATAATTGGAGTTCATAATGATGCCCTGAGGCACTGAAAAAATCCAGCGTGCCTTCTGAACTGTCTAACAGTTACATTGTGCTTGGTAGTGTTAGCATTGAGTGTGCAGTATAATGTTCTAATTTATTTTTTTCAATCTGTTAACATGTATGAAATTGCGATTTTTTTTGGAAACTGTGGCAATTCTTTTGTGAAATAAAAGCTAACTAACTCTGTCATTAAACTCATATTCTAAAAATTTGAGACTATCTTCAAAATCCTGTCTTGGTTTTTCTGGTCTTTGGTTTCTTGTTCTTATCTGGCTCTGGTCCTACCTCTCTATTTCTTCTTGGTTTTCTTTTTTGGCCTCATTTCATTGAGCTGCCCTCCACGGCGCTTCGCAGTGTCTCAGCTCCACACAGTCTGCTAAGGTGTTATCATCTGTTTCTATAAGCTACTACTGTGCATGAGTGACTCCAAATGTGGGTCCCTAACCTGGCCTCTTGCCTGGTTTTAGATCCAACTCATTCAACTGCCTCTCTACATCTTGGCTTGAATGCTATACAAGCACTTCAAACTCAACACAACAAAACCTCAATGCCTACCTTTCCCTGCAAACTTCTCCCATTTACGAAGTCCTAGTTTGGATGAGTGATACTACCCTCTATATAATTATCTAGGTGCCATGAAAGTAACCCATTCCCCTCTGTTCCTATGGCATTTTGTGCATGTTCTGGGTTATGGCCCCTGATATTTAAATTATAACACAGCTGTCCTTCCACTGAGTTCTAAGCTCTTTCAGGGCAAGAAATTTATTTATCTTTGTATTTCCAGAACTTATTACTTTGCCTATCACAAAATAGGTACTCATTTATTGAATTGAAACATAACTGATTAATCAGAACAGTTATAATTCCCCAACATATTTATTGGCCAGCAGAGCTTATGAGGTGTGTTAGCCTCCTTGGGCTGAATATCATAGACTGGGGTGCTTAAGCAATAGAAGCTTGTACTCACAGCTGCCAGCTATGTGGGTTCCTAGTGAGGGGTCTCTTCCTGGTTTCTCACTGGGTTCTCCCACAACTCTTCCCAGGGGTAGGGGTGGGTGCACACTGACACTCTCTGGTGTCTCTCCCTCCTCTTCCAAGGACACCCATCCAATCTAGTTGGGGCACCATCCCATGACTTCATTTAACTATAGGTCTCTATCTTCACATACAGACATAGTCACATTGTGGGCAAAGGCCTTAATGTGAATTGGGAATGTAAGATTCAGTGTATCACACAGGACCTGGTAGAAATTAATATTTTTCTCCTTACAAAGCCAGGCAGCTGTTTCCCAAGCTGTGCTGTGTTGCCCCCAACCCAGGCCCAGAAGCACCTCTAATAAGCACCTCTCCAAAGCAGTGCCTGATGCTAACCTTTCATGTAGCCTAAGAGTACAGTTTATCAAGAAATCAGTCTGTTTCCAAGTTCAGGAAAACTCCCTTGTTCTCAGGGTTCTGAGAAATATTCATTAAGTTAAACTCTTATAGTGTGCCAAAGTGAAGAGAATTGTGTCTGTAAGCACTAGTACTATTTAGTTATTAGTTTAAACCTTATAAGCTGATAATTACTGAACATGTGCTATGTGCCTGGAACACAATGCTAAGTGCTTTACATATGTTATCTCATTTAATCCTCACAAAGGCTTATGGGATGCATCTTATTATTGTCATCTTTACAGATGAGGAAACTGGGTGGGACATACAGGGCTCCAGGAGTTTTCCCAGGGTCACACAACCACTTTGAAGAAGTCTAAATACCATATAACTCCATTGGTATATTTACAAGGATTTAAAGTCCTTGAATTAAGGAGTAAAGGATTGAATTTTTAAAAAGGGTCTAAAGATGGTCTCTGGCCAGGGATATAGCTCAGTGGCACAGCGCCTGCCTGGCAAGTGCAAGGTCCTGGGTTCCTGGGTTCCAGTCTGAATACCAAAAGAGAAAAATTAAAAAAAAAAATGATCTCAAGTAAATTTCCCATAATCTTTTTTAATTGCTTGAACCAAATGCCCTTTCTCCTTTCACTCAGAAGTGCAGGTCTGGCAATCCTATTTTTGTTTTGTTTTTTTAAGTAAGATTCTTTTTGTTTTACAGAACACACAATAATTTCCAATGTATTTCTGTTAAAAATCATCTCAGAACTTGAAATGAGCTTTTCTTTTCCAGAACACACTTGTGCACTATTCATGTCCTTGTTTGTATCACCCTGGAAGCCAATCCTGTTAATAATCTCTCCACCCTGTTACTAATATTACAGGTCATTATCAAAAGATCTTTGCTCAGCAGAGATCTGATAACCCAGATGCACAAATTCCACATAAATGTTGATCCCTGGGGCTCTGTCTGAAAACTTAACGCTTTCAACAGGTTTTCTGATCAGTGAGTGACAGGCCCATGCCCAAATGTATTTTAGAAAATTCAGACACCTGTACCAGCCCAGAGCTACTGATGTGCTATCTCCAGAGCTGGGAGCTCACCATGTCCAGAGTTGCTGTGGACCAACACAAGGTAGGGTTAGCGATCACTGCTTTTCCCACTGTCCCCAGTCCTCTCATCCATTCCGTGGCTTCCCTGCCATCTCTCTCCAACCTAGTCCCAATGATTGGACCCCTACTATGAGGTTTACCCTAAGAAAAATGCACAAACGATGGTCCCTTCTAACAAGGTAAGGAATCAGGGCTCGATGAAAGCCCAGGAGTGTTTTGGCAAAGGTCCTCTTCAAAGATGTAGGGAACAGAAATGAGACATCTCCCTCTGGCAGTGTTTAAGGCAGAAGTCTAGGGACTGTTAGCTGTCTCTCACACCCACACCAAATGGGGAGCGAGCCCTCCCTCCTCACTTCCTCACCATTACTTGGCATTGATGTGGGATGTTTCCAGCCTTTCATCTGGATCACTGCAGGGTTCACGCTGGTCTTTCAGCTCCAGTTCACCACAATCAAGTGATTGTTCCAAAATAAGAAATCAGTCACAGCACAAGCATCCTTAACATTCTTTGATAGTTCTCTATTCCTGAAAGATGTTTGAGGAAAATTTCTTTGAAACTAAGAGGCCAAGGAGTAAGCTAGAAATGGAGATGTTTGTGACTGCTACATGAAGAATCTAAGCTAAGAGGTATGAGTTTGGAGAGGAGAAACAGGTACCTATCATCTTGTAAAACCAAAACTGCTCAAGAGCATCTCTCCTGCATAGGAGGAAAGCAAAGGCTGGCCCTGGTACTATCTGGCTCATGGGTTAGACAAGCACTGGATTAGCTGGGGTGGTTCCACTGTGGATTTGGAACACATGTGGAGCATCCTTCTTGAGATTACGGCACCCAAAAGCCTTATTTGCGATTATGGTCCCAAGTTGGTAATTTGGCAGAAGCTGAGTCAGCACCACTGGCCACAAGGTGGGTGTCCTAGGTACTTTTCTTGTTGCTGAGACAAAATACCCAACACCCAAAGTTAAAGGAGAAAAGTCTTCTTTAGCTCAGTTTGTAGAGGTTTTAGCCCATTATCAGCTGGATCCAAGACAAGGTAGCACACGGCAGAGGGGCAACTCTTTATGGTGGTGGAAGACAGCAAAAGCAAGCAAGGAGTGGGGGAGACAAGATTCTCTTTGTTTTTCTTTTTTTTTTTTTTTTGTCTTTTTGAGACAGGGTCTCATCATGTAGTCCAGGCTGGCCTTGAGCTCACTTTGTAGCCTAGGCTGGTCTTGAACTCACAATGATCCTCCTGCCTCAGCCTCCCGAGTGCTGGGATTACAGGTGTGTACCACCATGCCTGGCAAGATTCTCTTTCTGCACCTTATATTGTATGCAGGTTACTTGCCCTAGGGTGGGTGTAGCACTCATACCCTTAACCCTAGCCAGAACTATGTCAAACCAATCAATGGATTGATTTACTAACCATAAACCCTTAATCCTAGCCTCACTCACTCTAGATTCAGCCATCTCTGAAAAAGCCTCCTGAGTCTGTGGGGGGCATCTAAACACAAACCCTAACAGTAGGGATCAGATCTAGTATTAAATGAAGCCAATGTCAATTTTCTTTGTGGGACACTGAAGATCTGTGTGAGGGGCCTCTTATCTACCCAAGAGCTCCATCTCTTACGATGCCTTCCAACTGCCTGGCTGCTTACCTCCAAGCCTTGGCTCGTGCTGCTGTCCACTGGAATGTGCGTTCTTCCCAGAAAATTCTCCCATCTTCTTATAAGTGCCGCCCATTTGATGGCTCTTTTCGTCATGTCCACAGGGCAAACTGGCCACATCCTCCTCTAAATCCCTCACTGCCTACTGTGTGGACTTCTATGATGCATCCTACAATTCACTGTACTTTCATTTCTATGTATTTTTCACCTCAGGGAAAAGATGGGCTCAAATGGTTCTGTCTTCAGTGCCTATGTCTATGTTCTCATAGGGACTTAATAAATCTCACTTGACTAGTCTTTAAGTGTACAGAGCTGATTTAACAGCTATTATCCCTACTAAGAATGTGAGAAAACAGGAACTTGAGTTTTATTTTATTTTACTTTAATTTTTTTTGGTACCAGGAATTGAACTCAAGACCTTGTGCCTGCCAGGCAGGCACTTGTGCCACTGAACTATATCCCCAGCCCCAATTACCTTGTTCAAATTTTTTTTCCCCCTGGTACCAGGAATCAAACTCACGACCTTGCACTTGTCAGGCAGGTGCTGTGCTGCTGAGCTAAATTCCCATCCCACAAAAACAAATGTAGCGATTACTGAATGTGACCCTTATCCCAAAATTTTTTGGCAATGTGGCATCACCTGTCCAGATTGTCTTCGTATAGCCAGTTGCTAAAGAAACAGGAACACAAAATCTCGTGGGCTCTGTGAAAAGCTTCTAGTGCAGGATGTTCTCTTTCCTCAAATGAGTGAAGTCCTCCAGAAATACAGTAATCATGAGGTGGAGCAAAGCAGGCTGGGATGCGAGAGGAAGGGCCAAGCTCTGCTTTCTAGGAGTGGACCAACCACGGCCACCTGAATGTCAGCTCATCTGCTTAATGCATCTGCAGAACCAAATGTTTGTAGGCGAAATAAGAACCTCTTTGGGAATTAATGTGACATTTTAACCATCTGACTTCTTTAGAGTGAGAGTGACTAGAATGCAGAGAAATAGCCCTATGACACTCACACAATCCTAACAATTTCCCTAAAATTTTCACTTGATTATGATAGCCAGTAGTTTTAGCAGAGTGTACAATCACATTCTCATTCATTTGCTTATTCAATAATTCAATAATGGGCCCTTAAAGCATAGCACGTGCAGATCACAGAACGCAAAAACAAATGGGTAAATGGCAGAACCAAGCAAAAAGCTAGGAAAGGAAAAATGTCTGAAGCACTTCCTGTTAGGGCTATCAGTGCATCCTCACTTTGTCCAAAATATTATGAAGGCTCACATCTTAGAAACATATTCACTTATGTACAGAGAACACACCAAAAAATTAACTATCATTTTGGATTACCCATGCCAACATGAACCTGTGTATCTAGAGGATGCTTCTGTGACACAAGACACCAATGGAGCCATCTCTCTACAAAAGCAGGGACACTCTAGTGCCCAGCACATTCTAGTGCCGTGGGCCGACTCTGGCTCTGGGCTTTACCTGGTCTCATCCTGATATCCCTCACTCCACTCCCATAATCTGATATTTTACCAACACAGAGTCTCAAACTTCTTGCAAATTCCATAACTGTATCATGGCTAATGAATGAAAAAAAGAAGAGCCTTTTGTTTATGTCTGCATATGGTCTTAATCTTTTCTCTAGCAGAGTTTTGCATTTATGATCTATGCACATCTTGATGGCCCAAAGGGCTTATCATAATCTATACTATGAATATCTTCAATTTATTGTTCTGATCCTTATCCTTGCAACTCGTACAGATTATGCACTATTAGCATTCTATACAGGTAAAGAATAGCTGAGGTTAGCAAGAAGCAACCAACATTTCTGAAGTTCATTTTTAACTATCTATTTATTTATCATACTTCTGTCACCATAAAATGGATGGCAAATACAGTTTTGTTACAGTGGTAATCCTACTTTCCCAGTCTGTCATGACTGGTTTTCACAGAAGCATGACCAGTTGCCTTTAAGAGAGTATAAAAAACTGTGGAAGAATGAAAATGTTCCCTAAAAAATAAACAACTTTTTAGGTTGAAATAATTACACACAGAGAAGAAACAATACACAATTTGGGATTTTGATTTATTTTCCAAGTTTACAGTATAAAAAACATAATGTGTTTTAAAATGTGTTATAGTGAATTGGGATGGAGAAGGGCTATAACTGGAGGACCCAAAAGGAACAAAACCACTGGGGTACCAGGTACATCGTGTCCATGACAGATCCCATCACAATGAGAAGAGGTTTTAGAGTACAAACTTTATGAAGTTGAAAACGGACTTGTACAGATGGTTGCTGGTGGTGCGTTCACTCACATGTTCAGAAATGTCTCAGTAGAACCTACTGCCCAGTTAGTGCAGCAACTCACACTTAGGCTTTGTCATACATATTTGTGGCGGGTGAGTAGAGGTTAGCAAAACTGTCCTTCCTAGTAGGACAGCAGTAACTAGTGATCAGAAACAACACAAAAGGTCTCCTTTCATCTTTTTTCACAGTCGACTGGTCAGACAGAGACAGATGGTTTTATCGCTGACCTTTCTGGATTAATGCTGAATTCAAAATCTGAAACATGTAAAGTCCTGCTAACAAAAGCAATTGTGAAATAACCAATCAAATAAGACCTGGCCCAGGCCTCTCTGGTTTTCTAACACCTTTGCTGAAGATGCAGACAGCCAAGAAATGAGTTAAATTCAAGGCCCTATGAGCCAGTATGTGTCCCCACCTCATCCCTGCGGGTGTTCGTGAATGATATTTTACAAATTAAATTTGGTTAAGCATGTCACCATTTAGGGAATCCCAGAGATTTTGCCATTTAATTAAAATCTAGAATGAATCTAATAGAAAAATAAGAAATTAGCCAGCACTTACTTGTATTCCCAACTACTTGGGAGGCTGAGGCAGGAGGACCATAAGTTTGAGTTTAGCCTGGGCAACAAAGTGAGATCCTCTTTCAAAATAAAGTAAATACGGTCTGGGATTATAGCTCAGTGGTAGAGCACTTGCCTACCATGTGCAAGCTCCTGAGTTGGATCTCTAGAACTGGGAACAAAATTATTATTAAAGTTTGAATTTTTTAAATGTTCCCTTTAAAAAAAAAGAATGACAACCAATAGTAAGTGAATATTTCATTATTTCTATAACTGAAGGGTGCCGGCACAAGAAGGCATTAGCCACATCTTCCTTCCCGCCGTACAACCACCATGAGGATGGACATGTGTCTGAACTCCCTGTAACATGAGTTGAACTGAACTCATTTGCATATCAGATACCCATAACTAATTCCCTGAGAAAGTCTTAGTGCTCTCAGCTGATGATGCTCTCCTAGGCTAAGGGCTTTTGTAGGACTTTAAACTCTCAAATAATGAGCAATTTCACAATGAACACTTCTGTCCACAAGGGAAAGCTCAGACCCACAAAACCAGGCAACTGTACATTCAAATATTGTCTTCCAAATATTGTTTCCGTGCTAAAGATGTACCAAAGTCATTCTTAAAATAAAAGCCTGCAAGCTTGCTGCATCTGTCCCCAAGGCTAAAATAAGTATCTTTATTCCACTAAGACCAACAGAACACTGCTGCTTCTGAGAGACCTCAATTGTAGACTCTCAGCGCCACACTGAAGGTAACCTCCACCGTACTGCCTCAGGCTTTAGGAGTCTTTGTGGTGTTGGAGAGACCCTCCGACAGCCTGTGAGAGAGATTTATTTCACAGGCGAAAACAGTTACCTAACTAGATACTGGACAGGATCTGGAGAAAAGGACTCACAGAGTCCTAAGGTCTAAATTTACTCAGTAGTTTTACATTTCTTACCCATCCTTTGAAAGCTCAGCTTCCTAATGAGAAGCAAGGCTGAGGGACATGAGGGCCACCCTTTCATCTTCCATTAAAACATCAGGGCAGAGAGAGATGGTTTATGACAGCTGAGTCACAACTCAAGACAATAGAACAGGGGACATTTTTTCCAGAGTTCTACTTTACGTATGTTCTGTCAAGTCCTGAGGGCAAGAGCAGGGCAACAGTGGGTGCAAACTGCTTGCTGAGAACACGCTGCCAGGGCTCCAGGAGCGGGCCCCCAGCTCCAGACACCCTGCAGATACTCTTCCCCTTCCTGCCACTGCAGAGGGCAGAGGACCTGGCCCTAAACCAGCAAGAGGCCAGCTCAGGTCCCCGCAAGCCTTCCCCAGCCCAAGGCCTATGCACACTCTGTCCACACCAGCACGAGTGGCAGACAGCAGGGAAGGCAAGAGCACAGGGCTGCTGCAGGGACCGTGGCACCACTGGCTCTCACAGCAGTGGCAGCACTGGTGGGGCAGCCTTTCTTAGGAGAAAGGTGTTCTCAGGTTCCTCCCACTCTCCCCAGAAACCTGCTGGTAGAGTGGAGAAGCTTCCCGAATCCCAAGGAACACCCTATCTTGGGTCCTGACTCAGGTCCCTCTGCATCCAGAAATGTCAGACCTTAGATCCTGCTTCGAGGTGAAGTGGTCAGAGACTGGAAGGAAACACCCGGCTGAAATTCCATACACTAGCCAGGGGTCAGATCTTCCTTTTTGTCACCTGTAAGGCGGAGATAACCCCTGCCCCAGAAGAATGTGGGGATTCAAAGGTTGTGTAGAGCAGTATCTGACACATAACACCTTAAAAACGTGGTAGTACACATCCCTTCCTTCAGTGACTAAAACATAACGCTTTGCCACATGTGATCTAAGACCTGTCTGAGCACCTATTTGATTAAAGTTTTATACAGTGGCTTGATGGGGCATCTAACCTCTCGACTCTCGGCTATGCTGAATATCACTCAAGAACTGCACTACGGGCTTAACAATCTGTGTTTTATTTATAATGGAATATGACAAAGTTACATAGTAATAAATTCACAGTAGTGATTTTTTTGTATGTAACAAGATCCATAAAGCACAAACACTACCCAGAAATACAACACTTTACAATCAAGTCTGTCTCTGCTGCAGAGCTAGTTAAATAAATATGTTAACATTTCTGTGCTTTTTAGCAACCAATCATTGGTTGTCTTTTTCTTTTTATCTAAGTTATATTAAGGTATATAGTAAGGCTTCCAGGGTAGTAAAGTTTGACCAGTAATTCTCATAGAGCTTGATTGACCTTTGTTTGTTTCTTGCTGTTCTGGGTCACAGGGTTCTAAAGCAAGACAGGATAGAATGGACACTGATGTAAGACAGCAGGCCTCCAAGAGACACTGGTGAGCTAAAGCCCGTTACTCCTGGGTAAGAAGCCCGCATAACTCAGGGAAAGGGGTACAGTAAGGGAGGGAGAAGAAACTGGCTTTAAGAATTGCCTTCCAAGACAGGAGCTATCAGGAAATCCCTCAAACACAAGGCATATGTAGAAACACACATATCTTCACCACAGCCTTATACACATTCACAAGCATCTGCTGAGACACACACCTCTCTGCCACAGGTAATAGGGATGCAAAGACGGCCGACATGCAAAGTGCCGTCTATCTGGTAATACACACTCAGAAAAATGCTCACGTGTGTAGACACAAACATCCGCACTCAAATACGCACCCTCATGCTGGGAGCCTTCCCTGGCAGGGACCAGGAAGAAGGGAGCTGATTTCGCTGGTTTCACTGGGTGGCTGAACACTCACTCAGCCCATGGCTGGTAATGCGGTGGGGCAGGTAATCCATTTTTGTTAGTCCACTATGCTGGAGGCATCCTACAGAGCTACAGCCATTTTATAAATACACACACTTGACACACGGAGATGCTAAACAAGAGAACTGAAAGCCGCCACAGACTCACGGAGGGGGCAGGCATGCCTTCCCTCTCCAACACACTATCACAGCCAGTCCCCCTCATTAAAAGGGAGTCCCAAACTCCAGCAATGAAGTGCAATGTGGCACACACACCAGAGCCATCTACCTTTCATCTTCTGTTGAAAAGAGTTTGTCCTTTTTGTAGACCTCAAGGGGGAAGGGCAGAGGAAGAAAGTGATGTAATAATAGCTGGGCAAAAAAAAGTTGGTGGTTGAGCATCCTCTAGGGCTTACTTTCTGAACCTTAACACAAGGACTATGGATTTTGACTTAATGGATAATGTAGAGGATGGATGAACTACATAACCTTAAACTCTCTTCCTACTCCCAGAATACACTTTTTAAAACATTCAGTTCATATTCTATTAAAAAACTGCCATAGTTTTACAAGCACACACTTATGAACAAACATTATCTACTGGTTAAAACACCACCCGGGAAGACAGCAATCGCAGACCTACACTCCTCATGAAGTTCTTTCACAGTTAATGTTAGAATTTTAATAACTTAAGTTGAAAGCTATAGAAAAATCTATAAACATTTAAGGTAAAAGAAATCTTGTCTCCTCTACTAGGAACACATACTCTACTTGCCTTAGGGTACAGTTTACCCTCTTTAAAAGGAATAGCCTACTGGTTCCAAGAACTGAAATAAAAATTTACTGTGTTCAATTGTGTGATTCAGCTTTCTGAAACCTTACTTTTTTTTAATGCCATTTACCTGGTTCCCACTGCACCAGTAACTCGAACTATTTAGAGGTTGAAAGTGCAAAGGCTTAAAAAGATTCTGCATTTGATTTTGTTATTCTTTCAGAAAGAACGCAGTACAAAGTTAGTGTAAAAAATCAATATTCAATTTAAAAAGAAAGTAATTTCAGAAAGCCTGACATTCTCCTATGCAAAAAGTCAGAGAAAAAGAGAGAAAATAAGTTCCTTAATTTAAACCTGTCTTCACCCTGCTGGGAATGCACAAGCAATAGTGAATGAATCTAACTTAACCCTTCTTGCCTGGCAATTAAAGATAGGGTGGGAAGCACAGTATTTTCCAATGCTGATGAACAACGTTGTTATTAGTTCTGTCTTACACGCACGGCACTTCCAATGGCACTGTATTCAGCAGCTGGTCTGGACATCAGCCACTTTACACAGCCGAAGTTTCACACACACTTACCACCCCTTACCCTATCTTCCAAAATACTTCCTGAGAAAGACATCATAAGGAACTTCCAGTCAGAAAGGAGCTAGAGGCAAAATCTAAGAACGAAGCACCATGGTTACATGGTATGTGTTTTTCATAAACAGAACCATGTCACGACAGAGTACAACTTGGCTCCACGCCACACTTTGGATTTCCCTTCCCTTCTTCTCCAACGCAACTTTTCCAGCTGAAGGCTGCTGATCTGAGAACAATGCTTACTTTTTCAGGTACAGGTGTACTAAAACATTCAAAGCCAACTGTGATTTTTAAAACGATACACAAGGTATTGTATGGAATGCATAAGACAACAATGCTTCACACACACAAAGAGCATTTCACAGCGTCATCCTGAAGCAAGGTGACTATCATGAAGTCTGAGAAAGGGAAGGGGGAACACTTTTAAAGGTTTACTGAAGATACAGAAGGGCAAACAGAGGCAAAGATTATCCACTGCAAGGTGCAGGATGCAGCTCCTGAGGCGCGTCTCTGCAGCCGGGCTCTGCCAGGGGGCTGCTCTCTACAGCAGGACAGCTGGAAGCGCCTCCAAGACCAGCTCCAGAATAAGACAGATGGCGCATGAACCACTCCAGCCCAGCAGGTTGGCTCCCTCCTCTCCGGTCTCCCAACGCTATAGCACCCACTCTCCTTCACTTCACCAGGGACTAAAAGCGTGGCAGGACTCATGCAAGGCCCTGGTAATAAGTGGCTGAGCTGATAAGGTGCACAGTGACAGTGGTCAGAAAACACAGGGCTGGACAGCAGCAGCTGCCAGTTGGTCGGCACTGTTTGGTCTCCCTCAGCAGGGCAGCTTGGTATAAGCTTCGTGAGAACTCACCTCCTTGGGAAATCAGGTGACTCCAAGAGGTACCTGCCAACCCCAGGGTCACAGTGTTAGTCTCCCCTAGTTGGTGTGGAGCAGGGGGAGGAGGATTAGGTAGGGTAAGCTTTGGCTATAGCCTAGAAGAGGCATTCCAGTGGCTGACTCTCCCGTCTTTTACCTGGTAGGCCATGCCACACTTCCCCATGGAACAATCTGGGATGGATGGTGCAGAGACTGCAAAGGGCCTATGGCATGACTGCTAGGGTAGGTGGAATGGAGTGGAGCCATGGTGGGAAATCCCAGGGCTAGAAGCAGAATAGGATCAGAAACACGGCAGGTAGGCTTTTCTTTGGGAAAAAATAAAAGTGAATCACGCAACAGCTGTAATCTGACAGTGTGCATTTTTGGTTAGGCTCTTTCTCTGAGGAAACTAAGGCAACAAAGAACAAAGACGAAGGCAGGCATCTCCTGAACAGCTCCAACTCCCACGGATCATGTGGTTATGCAGACAACGACACACGCACACATGTAGAGGTGCGGTGTCTGGGTTCCCGAAGCAGAAGAGAGAATGGGTCCCCTAGAACCCTCGAGGTGGTTGACCAGAAGCAGTGGGGATGTGGGACTGGCTGGGAGTCAGGGATGAGTTGTAAGGCGCAGCTCCCAAGGACACAGCAGCTCCACTTTGGTTTGTAGCGTCGGCTTCTCCAGGAGTCCCATCTAAGAAAGTCAGATGCCACCAGTCACTTCTCGTCAAGGCGGACATCCCCTGCTTCCTTCCAAATAAAGTGCAGATGGTCAAAGGATACTGGTCTGTCATCTGCCAGCTTCAGTCAGCAATGAAGAATAAAAAATTTTTTAAAAAAGACACCCCTCTGGACATATATATCTCTCTATATATTCTTTTTTTATATAAAGCCTCAAATATAGAACTTTTAAACGGATGTCTCAGACTGTAAGCGAAGGACAAACTTGTGAGACTTGGGGTCTATAAACTCTTCAGAGAGTATGATGAATGGAATTTTCTTCACAGTGACAATGAGGCTGAAGTCCAAGCATTTAAGGACGAAAACAGTTCCATCCTGTAACCCATTAGTCACGGCCTCGTCACTAATAAGTCTCCACTGCGTAGACAGCCAGCGATCCTTGTCATACTGCAAGGTGGGGCCCGCACGGAGGTATCGCTCTAGGAAGGCCTGAAAGTGAAGAAAGAGCATTATGGTAGAAACAAGCATGGGGGAGAGGGCAAGTCCTGCCAGGGGCTGTTTTCCCTACATCTGGGAAAATGTTTCCCACAGGAGCTAAGGGTCTTCAGCCAGAGTCCACTTCATCATACTGATTCCCTCCTGCCACATCTCCCACTAGAGTCACTGCAGGCAGGGAAGTCGTCTTGGCCTTCCCCATTTCCTTTTGCCAATTCTCAACCAGACGAGTGATGGAGCTACCCACAGAGGCAAACACATGGGGGCGGCTGGCACCGTCACTCATGCACCACTCCTCAAAGGACACAAGCCTACCACCTACATGTTCCTCTCCCTCAGCCACATGGAAAGCTCCTTGGGCAGCAGGTACAAGGGGGTACTCAGTACATGCTCACTGAATCAATAGAGATCCGTCCTTTCATTTAAAAAAGTGCCTGCTCTACCACTTACTGACCCCATGACTTTGCATGAGTTCCTTATCTGCTCTGTAAGTAGAGACAAAAGTACCACTCTTACACTCTGCATCTGAAATGTGCCCCAAAAGCTCTGTGTTGAAGGCTTGGTGTCCAGCTGATGGGGCTACTGGGAGGTGGTGCCTAGTAGAGAGACCCCTGGGGACATGTCCTTGAGTACACTAGGGCCCTGACTCCTTCCACTCTTCTTTGCTTCCTGGCTGTCATTAGGTGAGCAGATTTGCTCCCTCACACCCTATCTGCCATGCAGAGAAGCAACAGAGTCAAGTAACCATGGACTGAGGCTTCTGAGCCCGTGAGTCAAAATAAATCTCTCCCCCTTTTAAATTGTTTTTGTCAGCTATGTTGTCACAGCAATGGAAAGCTGACATTGCAGGGCTTAATACTAACAAAACACTAACACTGGAAGGGTTAGCGCTCAGAAGGCACTCAGCTCTCCCTGTCTCCCTGGTGTACAGTAAACACAATCAGGGTGAGAGACGGTTATTCCACGCTGAACTGTGTGCACACATGGCCAGCCAAGACACCGCCAGGTCCATGTCCCCACCACTCCCGAGTTCTTGCCCTAGGGACACCTACCTCGCTAGAGTTTGCTGATCATATGACATCTTCACATGTGCTACTCCTCCTCCTACACATTCTTCTCCAAATTCCTCCTTGACCTTCAAATCTAAAGCTACCTCCCTGAACCTCTCAGGTGCATTAATATGCACTCCTCAAACATTCTATAATCAATCGCATGATCTCCTGTGATATTTTACTTTCAGACCTGTTACTGGTGACTTGCTTGCCTTTTCCCATACTGGACTTCACTCTTCTCTAGAGAGAAGGAAATATGTTTTCCATTTCTTAAAATTTGAATTTCCAATATGCCTGGCACACACCAAATCCCCAAGAGCCTGTGAATTAAATATATATAATGATTTAGCTGTGAGAAGAAGAAAAAATGAGCCAGTAATACAAATAGAAAATGTTGGGTTTGATCGACTGGGTCCCAGACAGAGTCCAAGGATAGTTTTAAAGTGGGAACCCCTTCCACCCACACCTCGTTGCTACTGCCAGGTATATTATTTCTTAGGGGATAGGCATCGATTCTAAAGCAGGAAGTAGGGCTTTGCCTACTTTTGTACCTCTAATATAAAAATAGCTTCTATGAATCATGTGAAAAAGAAATAACAATAAGAAAAATTAAATAATTTATAGAATAACTTAATGGAAAATTGACATGAAAAATTTTCTATCACATTAACTACTGAAGAAATATACATTAAAATACTTCTTCCTCTAGATGGGCAATGATTGAAAAGAATGATAAGATCCCATGCTGCCGAGCCGGTGGGGAAAGAGGAAGTCTCGCCGCCAGAGGCAATCGTATAAAACGGTAACAACCCTGAGAAGGAATATCGGGCAGAACTTTGATCTAGCTGTTTCTCTACTAGAAATTTACCCTTCAGAAATGAAATACTTGCATAAATACCTGTGAACAAAAGATGTGCACTGCCAAGCTGTTTAGAGCACATGATGACAGGCTTTTTCTAGATATGTAAGTATTTTCAGCTTTGCAAGTAACATGCCGTCATAACTGCTCAACTCTGCTGATACAGTGAAAACAGCCACAGTGGGATGTCATGTGCAGAGCATGGCTGGGTACCAATAAAAGTTGATTTACAAGGAGAGCCTCTGGCTTTGCCTAATGAACTTAATGTGCACCAACAGGCAGTCAGTTAAACAAATCACAGTGCTTGGTAGAATAGGATGCAGCTATCAACAGAATGAGTTAGATCTGCATGAATTAAGTCTGTTTTTTAATGACATGCAAAAAGTCAAAAAGCTTTAAGAGAAAAAAAGCAAGTTTCCAAAATATATATATATACGGTATGATCCCATTTCTGATTTTTCACTTCTAGTTAAAATAAAATGCACACATATATTTAAAAGAACATACACCAACTCCTTAGCAGAAAGAACTGCTGGGGTGGTGGGAGATGGAAATGTCACTTTCCACAGTAAACTTTTCTATAACGTTTAGGTTTTTATTGTAAGGCTATTATTTTTAATTCAGAAAAGTATAAACTTTTAAACGAAACAGGAAGCAATTATGAAATTTCCTAAAATCTTGAAAAAGAAAACAACTGTTCATTCTTCATGGTACAAGCGATCCGTCTGTACATGAGCAGTATTTTTTTTTTTTTTTTTTGGTTTTGGTTTTTCTCCGGTACCGGGAACCGAACTCACGACCTTGCGCTTGCCAGGCAGGCGCTTTTGCCACTGAGCTAAATCCCCAGCCCCTACATGAGCAGTATTTTCCTTACAGTTTGGAGTTATTAGAGGTTATTGTGCAAAAATGTAAAAAAAAACATACATACACTTTTGTATGTAATAGCCCCTGGGTGTCCACAGAGGGACTGCTTCCAGGATTCCCTGCAATGCTAAGATCTGAGTATGCTCAAGTTCCCCATATAAAATGACATACTTTTTCCATATAACCTAGACACACCTTCCCATATATTTTAATTCATCTCTAGATTCCTTATAAAACCCAGCACAATGTAAATGCTGTGTAAATGGGTGCTCTATCAGATTGTTTAGGGAATAACAAGAGAAAAATCTGTATGTTCAGATGGACGCATTTTCCCCCAATTATTTTCCATCTGTGACTGGTAGAATCCATCTGTGGATGTAGAATCCACAGATTTGGAGAGCTGACTGCATATCTGATTATGCTGAATATTTTTAACAGAGGGATTAGTGAGTCAAAGACGATGGAAAGCCTTAGTTTCTTACTGAATATTTCTGTGAATGCTTTTCCTAAGGGCTGCAGGACTGACAATGTAAGAACAGGACACGTACATAGTGCAACATGTGACACAGTTCTTATTACAAACAGCTGCTAAACGTTACATGTACACTGAAGCTGAGCTCACTTACCTTCTATCAAGTGACTCATACATCATATTGCTATATGTAATGTCGTTCTTACACAACAACCCCACCTCCATTTTATAAAAGAGGCAACAGTATAGAGTTAACTTGTGCAGTCATAAACCAATTAAGTGCGAGAGCCAGGATCTGAACCCACTATTCTCTGATAAGATAGCATGTGCTACATCCTTAATCTATTTTGCCTCCTTGGCCACCTCGCTCTCTCAATTCCCTGTAATAACTCAAAAAGTACACTAACATCATAGTCCCAAAGACCACTCAGTAAAACTAATTCTGCACATCTAAAATGCCCATCATAGCAATGGCACTTTTTCTACCATTACAGTAGCTATTTAGTCTTTATCATATGAAAGGTACTATTCTAAACATTTTACATGAATTTTTTTAGCTTCCAAAATGACCAAATGAGGACATTACTATTATCCCCAGCTTACAGGTTAGGGAAATGTGGCTGAGAGCCAGGAAGCTATTTCCTTAAGGTTGTAAGCTAGTTGGTGAAAAAGCAGCTCCAGCACACACAGACTATCCCTAACCATTAAACTATCCTGCTTCTAAGGTGAGACTCTCTCCTCTGTTAGAAACTCGAGGCCTCTGAAAGGCACAATTAAAAATAGTTATACTGGAGGTATATAAGTATGAATCACTAATTCTTACCACTTGGTGTTTTAGAGAAGCCTTTGATTTTTCATCATTCCTGGTACAGGTTGAGCATCCCTAACTTAACATTTTAAATCTAAAATGTTCCAAAACCCCCAATTTTGTGGGCATCAGCATGACACTATAGGTCTGATGCACTCAAACTCTGTTTCATAAACAAATTATTAAAAATATTCAGCCTATGTGCATGAAGTACATATGAAGCGTAAGTGAATTTCATATTTAGACTTGGGCCCCACCCGAACAGCAACCCACTGTTCCTACGCAAATATTCTGACACCTGAAAATAATGCCACATCTGAAACACTTCTGGTTCTAACCATTTCAGATAAGGCTACTCAATCCGTGACACCCTAAACTGTGACTGGCCAAGCTTGGTGACCAGTCAGGCTGACAGCTGGCCACATGTCACACCTTGGGGGTCATGCTGTTGGTGATGCAGAAGGCCAGATGCTGCAGGATGCTCTCCATGCTGTGGTAGTGCTGCTGCCGAGTGGTTCGCAGGTACTTCTGCAGCGCCCTGGCCATGGAGGGGAAGATGGCCTGCGCTGCCTCCCTGGGGTCCATCACCTCCCCTGGGGCTTTCTGCTGCTCCTCGGCCTGGAGACGCTGGATGTGGATGAACGCCTCTTCCACTGCCACCACTAGCCTGGGAAGTGACAGGATGTAGTCATCAGTCATCAGGGTGAAACCCATCACAGTGCTTGAGAATGGTCCCATGGGGCTGGGAGGGCCTCCTGACCAACCTGATTCTGCCACTAACGTTGCTGCCACTAGCTTGCCCAAGCCTCGATCACACTCTCCTTAAAGGGCTGGGGGACAGAGGGAGAAAGAGAATTAAGAGCAAAAATACGATGTGTGATGGGGGCCCTTGGGGTGGGAGATAACTCTCTTCTCAAGTCTGCTACTAATGAGCTTGGGGACCTCCAATCAATGTTTTATCTCTACAAAGAGAATTTATCTTTAAAGAGTTTGGAGGCCCCTCAAAACTGCATAGAAAGGGCTCTGCACACACTGAGAAGCAGCTAATGTGCAGAAGCAGCTTACAAAGAAGCAGAGATCGGTCCCCCAGATCTAGCCACCCACTCCACCTGGTCCAGCAGCCCCTGGGAAAAGGAAGAAAGTACAACACACATAAGGGAAACCACCTGCTATGATGTGGATCAAAAATGTCCCTCAGACGCATGTGTTCAGAGGTGAGGCTGTGGAAAGTGACTGGGTCATGAGGGCACTAACCTTGTCAACCCTCGGAGATTATAGCTAAATGGTCCGTTAGGAACTGAGACCTTGCTGGAGGAGGTCACTGTAGGCATAACAAGAGAAGGGATTCTCTTGTCCCTGGCCCCTTTCTCTTTTCCTCTCTCTGCTTCCTGGGTGCCATGAGGTGAGCAGCCACTCTCTTCCACCATGATGTTTCTGTCACTCCACTGGCTTAAGGCAAATGGAGCTCACTGGCCATGCTGAAATAAAGCTAAGATAAATCTTTCCTTTTTTAAAACTAATTTGTGTGAGGTGTTTTGCTATAGTAATGGGATGCTGACCTACACAGACTATTGGTACTGAGAAGTGAAGTCACTGCTATGACTATACCTGACCATGTTGTTCAGAAGCCTTTGGAACTGGCTGGTGGGATGAGTTCGGAAAGGTATGGAGATGCTGACTACAGAAGCCCTAGAATGTCACATGCAGAGCTTAATAGGCAATTACAGTATATACTCAGAAGACCAGAATGCTGATGGGAATGTGCTGATGAGGTTTCCGGTGGGAATAAGAACTCTAGTGGGAAGTGCACTGGAGACCATGCAGGTTACATTCTGGCAAAGAACTTGTCAACATTTTATCCATGTCCTTAGACTATGAGACTAAATTTAAAGATGACAGACTAATTAATCTGGCAAAAGAAATTTCAAAGCAGTGAAATATTCAGGCAGTGGCATGTGTATTGCTGACTGCTCTTAGCCTCATTTACAGTACGAATCATTAGCAAAAAGCAGAGTGGAAAGATCTGACAAATTTGCAGTTTGGCCAGAAGTGCACAGGAAAAGGAAGGTGTGGCTGAAAAGATTAGTGCCATTGATAAAAAAAAAAAAAAAAAAAAACCTGCCAAGTGTTTTGCATTGGGACATAGGAAAGAAGATGCTTTGAGGGCATCTCAAGAATTGGTCCAGCCTCAATTCACTGCAGTCTTACAGGGGTAAAATATGAATTCATTTGAAACACTACTTTGACAAGAGACTACAACTAACTGTGCCCTATTCCCACAGAGACACCTAGGGAGTTGCTTCCCAAAGATCATTTCACTGTGTTCAGCCATCTAGGCACTTAGGGGCCACTGCATCCAGGGTTCTAGAAGACCCAGCTACTGCTATAGCTGGTAACAAACCTTGGTATTCTCTACACGATGCTGGTTTTGTGCACATGCAGAATGCAATAGTTACAGGGTCATGGAGGCTTCCATTTCACTGATCTCAAAGGAAGGCCTGGAAGACCAAGTATTGTCAGTATCCCTACAGGCAGTCCCTGAGAGGTCAGCTCATGAAGCTGTAATAGTCAAAGTGAAACTGAAATGGAAATTCTGGGAAGGTAGAGGTACCAGGAACACTGTATGTCTGTTGAGGAAAGCAGCAGGAGTTGGAGAGAGTCAGCCCAAGAGTCAGCCCAGCCTTGTGGGTTACAACCAGCAATGCCATAGCAGCAGGGATACCCAAGCTTTTTGGAGCTCACATCATGCTACCATATTCCCTGGATGCTGGACTTAAAGCTACAGGATTGCATGCTTGTCCTCCTGCAATTTAGCCTTGGTTATCCTATCTCTCCTTTCCATGTCCCCATTCCTCCCTTTTGGAATGGGAATGCCTACTCTGTATCATTGCATCGTGAAAGTACGTAACTCACCTTCTGAGTTTTACAAAGGCTCACACTAAAAACTTGCCTTAAGTTTTGGAGGAGACTGAATTTGGACTTTTGAGAAATGCTGGAAGACTTTACCAACTTCTGGAGATAGACTGAATGAATGCATTTTACATAATGAGATAGACATAGACCTTTGGGGGGACATGGGTAGAATACTATGGTTTAAATCAAAGATGTCCCCCAAAAGGCTCATGTATTCAGAGGTAGAGGTTTGGAAAGTAATTGGATCACAGGGGCATCAACCTCAACAATGGAGTAATAGCTGAATACGCTGTTAGGAGGAGGATAAGACTAGCTGCAGGAATAGTCACTGGGCGCACAACCCGGAAGAGCCTATCTCCACTCCCTCCTACTGCCCCACGTCATGGCTGACACAGACGAGTACCTTTCTCTTACCGCTGCTTCCATCAGGATGCTTCTGCCGTGCCAATGGAGCCACCTGACAATATAAGCTAAAATATGTCCTCCTTTTTAAAGTTGATTTATGTCAGGTATTTTGTCACAGTGACAGCTGATTAATATGCCCCCTTTGTCTTTTTCTTTAATTAACAGGGGCAGATATGGGAAATCAGCAAGGTTGAGTGGGTGGGACAGGCCCACTCCACATGTGGGCACAGACCAGCAGCAGCTTCTCCTGGGAATCTGTTAGTAATAAGTCCCAGGTCCCATCCCAGAGGTACCAAAATGGCATTGTGATCTTTATGGGTGGGCCCTGAGCATGGAATCTAGGTCAATAAGCCCTCCTTGTGAAGGAGGCAGGTGCACTCCAAGGGCTCACAGAAGTCATATTTGTAAACAAAAACTTCATCCTGCCAGTGAGAAAAGAAAAGACAGAAGGGCTCGGCGGAGGGTGAGCCACGTACCTTGCCCTCCGCTTCTTTATCCGACGCTCGTGCTCAGCCTCTTCATAATACAGCTCGTTGTGGCTCGAGTCCCTGCGCCTGGCGGCTGCAGCGATCATAGCCCGGGACTGACCAGTGGCGTTGTTACTGGGGCCTTCGGGAAAGATGAAGGGAGAAGCACAGCTTTAACACCAAGGGGCTGGGCATGGTGCAGAAAATAAGCACCAGGGTCTGTCGATGCTGTCCACCCACCCCCTACGAAGTAAACACACATATCCTAACAGTGTCCTCCCAGGAGTGAAGATCGCACACTCCCCACAGCTGTTAGAAAGTGAGCCAGGAAACATCCTGACACAATCTGATAGGAAGAAATGGAGAAAGAACTCAGAAGGGGATAAAGAATGTCCGACACTTAGCCAGAAACAACAGGCGAGTGTGCTGAAGATGTCATTTATTATCTGTGACACAAAGTTTCAGTTTGGCCATAAGGGCAGCTGGGCCATCAGAATAAGAGAATGAGCAGGACTGGAGAACAAGGACAGATGGAAAAGAAAACCAAGAGACAAGGGACACGGATCACACACAGAAAAGCAAACTAAGATGGGAATGCCATGGCAGTCGTGACTTTTATAGAAAATATCTACACTTGAGGACATACAAAATGGCCCGTTTATGAATTCAAACTTAGAGCTCCTATTTCATCCCCTGACCACGGACTACCTTAACCTGTCACAAAGACATGGCAGATTCCAAGCTTTCTTATGAGGGACTTATGTGGCCGGAGACTTGGTTTCCCTAGTGAGAATATGCTAAATTCCTAGTGGGAACATTCCCAGTCCTTCAGGATTCACAGGAAGTCATATACTTCATATGCAAAAAAAAAAAAAAAAAAAAAATCAGGAAGGATATTGCCACATAAATCACTTTACTTGTTGAAAACATGATCTCCTCTGGAGTCTGCAAAGCTCTTGCCCTAACCCAAGGTGCCTGGCAAGAAGTGACACCGTGTCCTGTTTCTTACACTTGAACATCTGACACCCTCAAGCCCAGCTCAGGCTTCCTGGTCTGGCCTTCAGCCTCTTGCTGCCACTCAACTCCAGCTCCCAGCTAACATGGAGACACCGGATGCCTGAACTACTGGGATTTCCAGTCTGAAAGGACTTGAGTAGCTTCCTTAGACTTTGAGTTTCATCCAACTTTTGAAGATTAGTCCTTTCCTAATAGCTTTCAATGTAAGGGGGTCCCGGCAGCAGGCAGGAAACACATTACTATTGTTTTCAATCATAAAAATCCCCGAATGAAAGAAATTCTCACATATGCAGCCTATAAATCAACAGTCTTGTGAAAATGTCTGCCTACTATTTTTTAAAAAAGAAACTGGTCTGGAATGAGAACGTGCATAAGGTTGGCACACCACAGGTACTGTTTTAAGGCACGTACCATCTACGTTGTACACTTTCAGCCCGGCCATGTGTTTGGCTGCTCGGAATTTGGAAGCTGTTAGGAGGTTTGGGTTATAGATGGTGAAATCTTTGTAGTAATTTTCCAGAACCACCAAAGCTGCTCTCTGGATACTGCAAAAAGAAGGTAAAATTAATGCAAATCAGAATAAGCAGGTGCTAAGTAAAAAATTGTTCTCTTGAGTCAGGGAAGGTAACAAAACACCAAGGATAACCTCATACCCAAGTCTGCTGGTTTCCACACCTTGCTGTCTCCAGGATGAAAATGTATTTATTTATTTATTTTTTTGGTTTTTCTCCGGTACCGGGAACCGAACTCACGACCTTGGGCTTGCCAGGCAGGCGCTTTGCCGCTGAGCTAAATCCCCAGCCCCTCCAGGATGAAAATTTAAAGACCCAACTAAGTCTCGTCACCAACTGGTTTCCTTGCTAAGGCTCCCTCAGTAGCCATATCCCATCCAGCCAGCAGCTGAATAAGGAAGAAGTTACAACTTGTAACTGACATTTAGGTTTAGGCTACACAGAACTTTTCCTATTTTCTTCAGTTTACAAAAAAGAAAAGACCCTGGAATGCCAAAAAACTTACTAGAGGTCACAGAGTGAAAGAACAAAACACAGACTCAAGTTTCTCCAGACCCAGTTCAGTGTTCTGTGTCACAGCGCACTACCCCGGCGGATGACGACTCCTGGGCTTTAGGTTTTACGTGGAACAGAACAATGGCATTCACACAGGGTAGAGTGCACTTAAAAGAAGACTTTATCGCAGACCATTTGAGTTTTATGGCCCCCAATGCCCTCCGACCCTTCAACTGCTATCTCTGGCTCTCAGCAGAGGGGTGTGAAGGGTACTATCACTGTCCCAAGGTCTGAGGTCCTCAAACTCTCATTTGCTTAGACCTTGAGAGCGCAGGAGGGAAGAAGAATACAGGGAATATCCACAGTAGGAGTGTGGATGCAGGGAGGCTCCCGAGACTCGGAAATGAGCAGTGCTGGCACAGGAACACATTCTGGGTCTCACATACGAGGTACCTACCACCTCGGAAAGAAACCTGCAATGGTGCAGTGAAAGTTTTTATCTTACCTGACCCTTATGATCATTCAAGATAAGAAACAGAAGCACAGAAGTCTATACGACTAATGCAATGGCACGCATCTAATACACAGGTGAGCTGGAACCCTGAGGCAGACCAACAAACCTCCAACTCATGCTCTTTCCCCCGTAATGTGCAGCCTCTGTGAAATGGTGTGAGTCCCCCCACAGCTCTCTAAGCTGTTCACCAACCATCAGGGTGCTAAATACCACACCTGCGTCTTTACTGTGCTCTTTAGATTCACATTCCTAGAACTCTGCTGAATAGATGGGCTCATGAGGATTACTTAGGATGCCAGAGGACCAGGACAGGGCTGCTTTTGATTCCTGGATGACCACAGTACACTCTGATGCTCTCACAGTAGCTTGAGGATATTCATTTCATCCAGACCATGTAGTGCCCAAGCCACCAGGTTGATTTTGTCAACCCACCCTCTCAGCTTGGATCTAAAAGGATCTAGAAGTCAGCCCGCTAACTTCCTTGAGAGCACAGTCATGGCAGTGCTTCCTTAGTTATATCAACAGCAGTGCCATGATCGGTGATCTGTACTCATCCTACAAATATACAGTCCCCGGGGCAGGGAAACACTGTGAGACTGACCTTGCATTATGGAACTCTAAAATTCCTAAAGCAAATTCCCATTTTGAAAGTCCTAGCCACTCCAGCACTCAGCTGCTCATTCACAGTCTCAAATTTAAGTAGCTGCATGTGCAAAGCACTGGGAACACAAGGATAGAAGGGAAAGACTTCGCCATGGCCAGACACGCAGAGCACAAGCCACTTGACAGCTGTGCTCCATTCTGACATATGTAGGGGTTGACCAAGCACCAGGACAGCTTCAGTACTTTCCCAGGAAAGGATAACATACAAGAGCAGCTTCCCTGGGGAGCTGGCACTTGAGCTGAGGTTTGTGTCATTACAGATTTTTGCACAAAAGTCCACATCACTTGCTGTGAGCTCTGGCAGGGCTCAAGCTTAGCAGGACCCCAACCTCTTCCCTGCCCCTCTGCCTGTGACATGCTCTGCAGAAAGGCAAGTACTTCCTCATCCTTCCTGCATCTAGATATCTACCATGCCCCTCTTCCTGGTAACACCCATGTGCTCTCTTGCACACCTACGTCACTTACTACCCCACTCACTGCTTATTTTCCAGAGTCTCCATGCTTTTGTGAGAAAAGGAGTCCCTCTGTGCAGAAATAAGCCCCAGTCACACACTCAGCCTTTGGGTGTTTGCACCATGGCATTTCAAACTCCTGTACTGCCATAGAAATTTCTCTCGGTGTCAGAATTCCAACAGAAAATTATTTTCATAATCAAAATTTGAAAGGCAAAAGGCAATTCTGAAAGTTCTGCTCAGGCCTGTCTTCAAAGCAAAACCCTCTTGCGGCTGCTGGGTTTTACTGTTCAGCTCAGCCAGGCCACTAGAAGAGCTCAGGGATCCCTAGTACCTCTGTTGGGCCAGCAAGGGAAACTGTCACATTGCTCACCTCATGTCACAGCCACAGGCCACTGCCCTGTTCTTCTACCCCAGCCCGGCTCCAGCAGGGATCACGCTGTGCCACCTTCCCACACAGGGCCTCTGGCAAATGCTGCCCACACCGGGGCAAGGCCACAGCTGCAGCAACCTGCCTCAGAGCAATGCCCAAGGCATCCCCTAGTAAGAGCCCCGAGGCCTGGCGTGAATCTGTCTTCCCAGGGCAGAGAAGCTCTGCTCCAGAAACCCCAGAAAGGGAGAAGAGCAGCATGTTGCTCATCCTCCAGCATGACTTCTCAGCGGGGGCCCCACTGTGACTCAGAGCCGGCTGGACCTGGCTGGCCTCCCAGGCCAACACAGTAAGCTGGAGCTGAAGAACTCTCAGCGCCAAGTTTACAAATGCCTCCAAGAGCCCTGCACACTCTTGCTTACACAGAATCGTTTGCCTGACATTCAACAAACATAGGAACTCTAGGGAATGAGAATTTCTACACAACTGAAGATAACATATAACCAAGTGTTCAGCTTTAAAAAATGGGTATGGACTTTTGGATTAAAATTTCACATGCACCCTGCACCTTTTCACAGAGCAAACTGTAATACATGTTGTGGAGACTTGGGAAGATGATTATGTGTCTTCATCACTGAGCTGTGGCATGTCCGTAACAGGGAAGACATGGGTGCAACCAGCAACCAGAAGCTATCTGCCCCTGTGCTCCATGCTCCAAGCTGCAGTGCAGTGTGAATACTCAAGGCTCTTTGCTATGTCCTTTATTGGGCTCCCTTACTACTAGCTATCAAAGTCAGTCTGGGTGCTGTGCCCTGGCACTAGTCTAAGTCATAGTCCCTACAAAGCCAGGATGCAGGGAGCACCTAGCCCCTAGGCCAAGAGAAGGGCTCAGAATTCTTCCTGCCTTTACTCTTCCTAATATGGTACCATTCAGGGCCAGAGGAGGACTGACCTCTCCCAGGAAGCCTCTCCACACTTCATCCTAAGCCACCACATATGTTCTGTGGTGTCCTCCAAGGAGTCAAGCTATTCTTGCCTGTTCAACAGCTGTGTATAGAGTTCCCCATGCCCAAGGGATACCTCTTTTGATTTCTCCACAGGCACAATGTTTATTGGCTCCACTTGTCTATTTATGAAACCCTAAAATTCCTATAGGTCTAGGATCAATCCTGAGAATATATTTCACAAAACTGTGCAATTTCAGAGCCAAAAAGGGCTTCAGAGATGAATGAAAGCAAACCCTTCAATTAACCCCAACCTCTAGACTAGGTAATCTCTGCAGAAGGAAGGAGGAAGGAAAAATCAGGGTTGTGAGGAACACGCCGCCTCTCATTACTACTTTATTCAGAGGCAAAAGGCAGTGACTGGGTCAGCAAGCCTCAGGCAGGAACCCTGTACTACAGTCAAGAGGAGCCTGAGGTTCAGACTGTAGACATGGCCACCATTAGGCCTAAGGCAAGGGGCCTTCTCCACCAAAGCCACAGGCCAACACACTACGCTGTCGCTAACCAGGGAGCTCCCCCCTCACAGCCCACACAGATTTGTGGAAAACGGCACACAGAGATATGCCTAGTTACAACAGAATTTCACTTAACACCTACACATCGAAAAGCAAACACAGGAATCCAGAAACACATAGGAAAAGACAATACAGGAAACAGAATACTCAGGCTCCAAAGAGGCTGATGTCACCATCAACAGAACCTCCTGTGCTATGCTTGGGCTCAAGCTGGTTCAAACCTGAGCATAGAGGAAAAACTGGGCAGTACTGGATCAGCCCAGATCACTGAGGGAACTGATACCCCATTTTAGTTTAAAACTCACCGCTGACCAAGTGGTCTATTCTCTTGACAGGAAGAAGATAAAAGGTGAAATGCTGTGGTCTTTTGTGCTAATCGACCGCAGAAACACCTCATGTCACTGGCAACTGTTACAACAACGCTGTGGCAACAGGGAAGAGGAGCTCACCCTGGAACAGACCGAGGGAAGCAAGCGCCTGGAAACCGCTCAAATTTTGGTTCATGAAACTCTGAATGATATGTTTTTGAAAGATAAATCCCAAAGAAAACAACAGCACAAAGAAAGAAAGTCTACATTCCCAACACCGCCCCCAAGCTCCATGCAGGCCCAAGTCTAGATACGAAGACCATGAGAGGATACACACACAACACAAAAGGTGCGGGCCACAGGCATCAGACGATGCAAAAGTTGGCTCTGTCACTGATTCTTAGATCTTAAACAATTAACTTCTCCTCTGTAGAATAGGAGTAACAGCCCAGAAAACCCTGTAATATCATGGGCTTCAAAATACCATAAAGTTCATTACTGAAAGGGTAATAAGATGATGAGACAGGCCAGTGTATTCAGCAGTTCTAGCAGAGTTCACTAGACCCAAATATACCAGGTGCTGGCTAAGGTTGGCCTGAGCTTGTGGAAGTTGTCTAATGAGCTTTATTATTACTGAGGACAATTCTGAGTTCTAAGACTTCCTGAAACTACAGATGTAGTCAGTATATAGGCCAGGAAAAAAAATACTGGA